CCATCATGTTAGCATGTTCCAGAGGGGATGCTCTCCATCATGTTAGCGTGTTCCAGAGGGAATGCTGTCTATCATGTCAGGCCAGGCACAGCAGCAGTAGGTGAAATGGCCTGGGAATCTGGAAGGGAAGTGACCATGTTCTGTGTACACAGAGAAAAGGAAGAGGGCCAGGCTAAAAAATCGCAAAGCCCACACCTTGGTAACACACTGCATTCAGCCAGACTTCTCTTCCTAGAGGTGCCATAACCTTCCCAAACAGCGCCACCAACTGGAGACCAAGTGTTCTACATGCACCTGTGGGGAAGACTTCTCATCCACAGCTGGTTATTAGTTAGGAACTGCAGCTCTTTCAATGCCGAGGACCAAACCACGGCCTGGCACGTGCTGCAAGCGCTCTGCCACCGAGCTACATCCCCAGCCTGATCCTGTGGTTCTGTCCATGAAATTAAACAGATTATCAATTAAAATATAGAAAAAAATGTGTCTAAGTCCTCCTGGAACCTGTCCTTGAGTGTTGAAAACCATAAACATTGCCTTCCTTTGGCACACATTTTCATTTCTCAGAAATTATTTCAAAGAAGCGTGTAAAGCCTAATGTTCACTTGGACTGTATTTCTAATAGAAAATAGTTGAGCCAAAAAATCACTAGAAAATAAATGTAAATATTTTATCTATTTAAGAAATATAGACAGGCATTTGCATATCATGATTGAAAACTATTTGACGTCACTGGAAATTAATAATGTCATAATAAAATATACAAACAGGATGAAAACACAGCAAATACAGTTTGACTCAGTGTTTAAAGATGTCTGTGGCAAAAACCAAGACAAGATGGAAGTACTTCAAAGTATCAGTAGTATTTAGCCCTGGGTAAAGCGTCCTGAGCAGTTTCATGCACTTGTGTTGCTGTTGAATTTTCTAGAACGGCTCTGTAATTCTCTAATGTGGTGGCTTTTTGTGCCAAAGGCAACTTTCTAACTGTGCCCCTGACATGAAGATGATGTTTGATGCTGGGAAGGATCAAAAGTAGGAGTTAGTGATGAAGAAAGGACCCTGAATGTACCTGATAATCTAAAAAAAAAAAAAAAAAATGCTCCCACTGAATTACTCCTTGTTCCATTTTCTTTTTGTAAATAGATTTGTCTTTTTCTCTTTGTCTGGATGTATATACATGTGCAAACACATGAATGTATATGTCATGTGTGTACAGGTGATTACAGAGGCCAGAAAAGGTCATCAGACCCCTTGGGGCTAGAGTTTCATATATTTTATTATTAGGATCACCTGCCATGGGTGCAGAGTGAACTCTGGTCCTCTGGAAGAACAGCCAATGCTCTTAACTGCTGAACCATCTCTCCAGCACCCTTGACTTTTTTCCAGTCACTTTCTTGGGTAGCTTTTGGAAGTTTTCATTTCTCCTGACCTTTTTCTCTTAATCCCTTATCCAACAGTGGGTTTGATTTTACTCATCTGTTCCGGTAATGTTTTTAAGTTAAAAAATAGGAAAAGTAAACCCCCCCCCCCCCCGCTCCAAGGAAGGCTACAGAGGCCACAGTACAGGAACAACACGACAGGCAGTACATGACCATCCTGTCCATCAGAGTGACCTTCATCTTTCTTCCTTTTGTATTTATTCAGCCTCGTGATGATCCTGAGACTGGTCCTGCTATTGTTGTAGCACCTAGAGGAGCCAAGACCCAACCTCCCGTCATTCCACTGTACCTGGCAGAGCAGCTTCTTCCATTTAAAAGATCTGTTTAAAGAGGTGGTAAATTTCTTACACTGAAATGGAAGTACATTGTCACCTGAAATTTAAAAGCTAATTGGCAATATTTGCTTGCCCCTCCCCCTTTTAATTTAAAGCAGAAGTTTCAGCTGTTTCCTTCTGCCCACCCTGGTCTTTGATGGGTTGTTACGTAGTCATTTGCTTTCTCTCATCTTGTGGGTGGAATTTGGGGGGGGGGGGGGCTTCCTGTTTTCTGCTCTTGATAGTTCCAAGCTCTTATGGCTCAAATAAGATGAACGGCGACCTGTCATGTCATGGGTTCCCTGGAGTGAACCACAGACTGTTGATGATGTGTATGTCACTTGATACCCTTGCGATTTTATTTGTGTTGTTGTGAGGGATTTTTGCATCGACGGAATTCCGTCCTCAACTCATCAGTGGTGTAACGGAGTGCATTCAGTATTCAAATAAAATACCTTTTATCGTAAGCCTTTTTATTCATTTTTATGGCCTTTCTAGAAACTCAGGCATCGTTGACATTGACATTGTTTCACTACTAGTAAAAAGGATGTCAGGGGAGGGTTTGCACCAGCTCTCCGTACTTTGTAGGACCATCTCCCTCCCTTCCACATCCATGTCCTATCACCAGTCCATTTGTTTGTTTTGTTTTGTTATTTTGGAGACAGGGTTTCTCTGTAGCTTTGGAGCCTGTCCTGGAACTACCTCTTGTAGAGATCCGCCTGCCTCTGTCTCCCAAGTGCTGGGATTAAAGGTGTGCACCACTACTGCCAGGGCCTCACCAGGCCATTTTAAGAAGAGCTATAGCTTGTGATGTTCAAAGCAGTTTTAAGGACCAGATAGACCACCTGGAGATCCCCCCCTCATTCCCCACTGTCTCCTGTGGTCTCTGGGAAATCGGTTTTTCCCCTGGGGACTCAGTGTCTCATCCCTGAAGGGTTTCAGTGATTTTAGCATACCCCCCCCCCCAGTTCATCAAGGGTCACAGGTTCAGTCCTTCAGACAGCAGCCTTTCATGAAATGGGAGGGGTGGAGAGCTCCAGATGCCAGGCTGGTAGGCAGGGGACCTTACACTGCTGACATACTGCAGGTCGCTAAACTCTGAGCCATATGGAATTGAGAGAAGGAGAAAGCCAACCCACTAAGTGAACCAAATAGGAAACCCACACAAACTTCTTTGGCATACTTTAAGGGCTCCCTTTTTAAAAAGAAAAAAAAAAAAAAAAGCCAAACTGACCCAGCAGTGCCAAAGAAATTGCTATCACACCTGGGCTGGAAATGTCAGGTGCCTGCCTCCTTGCCAACAGCCAAGGCTGACAATGGCTTCTATTCACCCTGTGATCGACACTGAAGTGAAGGCCAATTGTGTGACTGATTGTAGACATATTTACGATATGTATAAGATATAGTAAATAATGGGAATTTTTAGAAGGTAGTTGAAGCTATGCAGCATCCTGGACTTTTACCTAAAGGCAGTGAAAGTGAATGATGGTGATGCATGTGATTTTGTAATTCTTGTGTTTGTGTTTTAATCTGTGAGGGTCAGCAAGGTGGCTCACAGCTAAACCTGATAACCTGAGTTCAATCCCCCAAACCTACAGGGTATAAAAAGTGTTGTTCCCTGACCTCCACACATGTGCCACATCCAGGACAGATGTACACACACACACACACACACACACACACAGAGTGAAAACACTTTGACTTCCACTCACCACATACAAACATGTTCTAGCGCTGTACAGAGTGCAGAGAACCCTACTTGGGTTTTCTGGACTCATTCTTGGTAGCATGTCTTATCTGAAACAGGAATTGGCCTTCTGACGTATTGATAAGTTTTCAGCAGCTTATTTCCTTACACATTTATTTATTATCTCTTTATTGATAGAGCATCAGGATGTTTTCCTGGTCATTGATACAAACACTGTATAAAGAGTTTACTGACTTACATGGGCCTCTGTGTCTGACAATATCCAACTACAATAGTGCTCCTGTTTTTAAGAAACATACCTTTTTCAAATTTGAATATGTATTTCATGGTTCCAGTGGATTCATCATCCAATGGAGGCTTCCTCTGGCTTCCAGGTAGGAGAAATCTGTTCATTGTAAAGATCTGGCTGGTTATGACTTTGAAGTCCTGCAAGGTAAAAGGCCACAGTCCATGAGAAAAGAATGTAGCAAAGTAAATACAAAGGAGGCGTGTTCTTACAAAAAAGAAAAAATGTGTGAAATTTGTATTCCCTGGAGAGGTGGCTCAGTGGTTAAGGAAGTGTCCCACTCTTCCAGGGGACCTGAGTTCTGTCACCACCACCAGGTGGCTCAGTCACCTGTAACTCCTGCTCAAGGGGAACTAACACCCTCTCCTGACCTCCTCCAGGACCCACACACATGCTCGTGTGTGTGTGTGTGTGTGTGTGTGTGTGTGTGTGTGTGTAAGAGTATGTGCATGTGTGTGTGAGAATTTGTGTAAGTATATATGAGAGTATGTGAGTGTATGAATTTTAAAAGAAACAAACTTTGTTTTCTGTACTGTGAGAAAGGGGGAGGGTAATGAAATTTTCCTACATCGCCTATCATTGCCAGATGATACTGCCCTTGTGCAGTACAAGTTGCAATATTTTTATGATTAATAAAAACATTCATAAGCTGTAACCACTTGTTCTCATTTTTTAACTAATTGAATTTATTTATTTTATATCCCTTCTACAGTTTTGGGATTTAATTCACATCCCTCCCTCCTCTCCTCCCATTTCCTCCCCCAACCTTTCCTTTCTCCCAACTCACCCCCAATCCACTCCTCCTCTATTTCTGTTCCAAAGGGGGCAGGCCTTCCATGGATATTAACAAAGCATGGTGTTTCAAGCTGAGGCAAGACTAACCACCTCCCCTTGTATTAAGGTTTGGGTAAGGCAACCCTGTATGAGGAATAGGTTCCCAAAAGTCAGTGAAAGTGTTGGGGAGAGACTCTGCTCCCACTGTTATGTAGAGGGCCTAGGTCAGTCCCACGCAGCCTCCCTGGTTGTCAGTTCAGACTCTGTGAGCTCCTATGAGTCCAGGTTAATTGATTCTGTTGGTGTCCTTGTGATGTCCTTGATGCCTACAATCCTTTTTCTGTTATGCAGGATTACCCAGGCACAGCACAATGTTTGGCTGGGGGTCTCTACATCTGTTTCCTTCAGTTACTGGATGAAGGCTCTCTGACGACAATTGGGCTTATGCACCAATCTATGAGTATAGCAGAATATTTGTTAGGCATTACTACTTTGACATTAATTTTCTCCAGTCATGTTTGGTTCTGCCCTAGGTCTCTGGGCCAGCCAGCCTCTGATCCTGACACTCTAGGCAGTTTTAGGGGTGGACATGGGTCCCAGGCTAGACCAGTCCTTGGCTGACCACTCCCACAGTCTCTGTGCCCCAGCACATCCAATGTGCAGAACAGACTGTAGGTAAAAGTTTTTATAGCTGGGTTGGTGTACCAGTCCCTCTGCTAGAAGTCTTGCTTGGTTACAGGAGATGGCCAATTCAGCTACATATCCTCTATCGCTAAGACTCTTAACTAGGATCACCCTTGTGGATTACTGGGAGTTCCATTGCACTCGCTTTCTACCTCACCTGGAAGTGACCCCCTTTTCCAATTGTCTCTCCTGTATTCTTCCCCATCTACCTCTGAACCTGACCTGTCATGTTCCCATCCCCACACACAACTTTGAAAACATAAGAAGTGAACCAGGTAGCTATTCCAAATAAGTTTACAATATAATAGGAAGTGAAAAAGAATGAGGCATCAGAGTTGTAGTAAGTCTTGAATATTTTAAGTTTAGTTTAAAAATGAAAAACTTTGGAATTTAATCAGTCTGATAGTTGTGTAATCAGACAGATTAAAGTGTGAGTCCCAGTCCTTCTACCAATCCACAATGTTGAGGTTTTCTAACCTCCAAGTCCTGTGTCTTTACTTTGAGATGCATGAAATGAATGAGTAAAAGTGTGTTTGGTTTTTGGAGCAGTGGAAGGAAGATGGGCTTTATCTGTGGTTGCTGTTATTCTTAAGCAATGACTGTGTTGGGGGAAGCAGCACGATGGGCCAGACCAAGCCACACTGCCAGGAGAAGAAGCATGAACAGTAGTGCAATGGGCAATACCAGGCTAGGCCACCGGAAAGAGAAGTATGCGCAGCAGTATGGTGGACTGGGCCAGCACCAGACCAGCAGGAGAAGCTTGAGCCGCATCATGGTGGGCCATGATCAGTGGCCTCCAGAAATGATCTGACCATTGGGGTCTCAGCTGTAGTGATGAGGCGAGCAGGCCTGCTTTTTGTCCCCGCCCAACTCCCGAACAGCTAGCTTAGCCCCAGAATAATTACACGGAAACTGTATTCATTTAAACACTGCCTGGCCCATTAGTTCCCACCTCTTATTGGCTAGCTATTACATATTGATTCAACCCATTTCTAGTCATCTGTGTAGCACCACGAGGTGGTGGCTTACTGGGTAAGATCCTAACCTGCGTCTGTCTCAGAGAGGAGAGTCATGGCGACTCCCTGCCTCTGCTTTCTTTCTCCCACAATTCTGTTCTGTCTACTCCACCCACCTAAGGGCGGGCCTATCAAAAAGGCCAAGGCAGTCTCTTTATTAACCAATGAAAGTAACACATAGACAGGTGACCCTCCTCCATCACTCAGCCTCATACCTGCTAACACCGGAAGGAATGATCTTCTGAGCATTGGTCCAGTAATCTGGAGGAATGACCACCAAAGGCTCTCCTCTCCCTACACCTGAAGTAGCAATCAATGGAGCCATAGCTTCCAACTACACCAATTGGAGAATACAGGATCCCCCCCACCCCGAAATGCAGGCTCTACCTGTTCTGATTGGAGAAAGAGATGGTTAGACAACAGGGACAGAATACATCCAACAACATAAAGAATAATTCAGAATTCCTTAAGCTTTTTCTGGCTATCCAGCGGGGTGTGTTCCTGCTGCTGACTTTCTTTACCACATTCTACCCTGCTCTCAAGCCCTCCTTTTTGTCAGCGAGGTCCTTAGAATCCCCAACACAGCCTGCTTCAGGGCTGAGGGGACCAGAGAGCCAGCAGGGAGTGTTACTGCCACTGGGCCTACTTTCTACCATCCCACCCTGCCCCAAGCCTGCCATTTTGTCTGCAAGGCCCTTGGAACTCTGCAAGAGACCCTGCTCCCATGCTAAGTGGAAGCTGAGAGGTGAGTAAGTGGCCACATAGCTGAACAGCCTAAAGTGCCACTCTCTGAGACAGTACCTGGGGGACTGAATCCAGGACCCCTCAATTCCCTAAGCTTTTCTAGCAATCCAACAGGGTGTATTCCTGCTGCTGGCTTTCTTTACCCCATTCCATACTGCCCCCAAGCCTGCCTTTTCATCTGCAAGATCCTTAGATCTCCCAACACAACATACTTCAAGGCAGAGGGAATCTGAGAGCCTGCTTCAGTGCTGAGGG